TCTCTTCTTTATTAATCTTTTTAGTTCTTTATTAATATGAGACATCAAAATTTGTAAAAGTTTAGAACAGAATATATACGTATTCTATTAATTTGATATTAAATCTGAATTAAAAAAGTGAACGTTGAAATGAGATATGTATAATATATATAATGTGTAGATATACAGTCTATATATAGATACATATATATATATATTGTATATTCTGTATACAGTTTAGACAATTTTCCCCTCTTCGTCTTTTTTTCTAATAGCTTAGAGACTATAAATTTGATTAAACACGTGGGAAATCATTAGCATCCATAAGCTTTGGAAAAAAGATATACCAGTTAACTTACTGGAAAAGATAGAATTTCTAAAAACAATTTTTACTTGAGTATTTAGTTGGTTCTCTTTTTTAATAAAGCATTAATATAATTTGTTTATTGATAATTAGAAAATAATTTAGTGAAAATATATACTCTATTCTTCATGCTATTCAATTCTATGGAGATTATTTCTCAATAAAAAACAAAAAGAAATGTTATGAATTTGTGGATATGTATATAAAGATTAAATAGATAAAATATAAATAACATCAATATTCCAATTAAAAACATGTAACTATTTATTCCGTTTTATCTACTGAATGATACTCTCTATCATGGTTTGGATAAAGTTTTTTGTAAAATGAGAAATTTTACCCTTTCTAAAAGGCTATTTGGTGCTGATAATCCTTCTGTTATTCTCAGAAAAATCTAAAATTAACAGAGCTTTTCCTGAAGAAAATAATGATTTATTTTATCATCATTTGCTTAACCGGCTCGCTTGATGGGCTAAATCAAAAGTAATAAGTTCATTCTGACAGGTGGATTAAAATTGATTAATAATGAGTCAATTCGATTGTCCCTTCGGGTTAAATATCAATTAAACATATTTTATCTATTATGTAAAAGCTCCCTTTAAAGTATTGTTCAGTTTACTGTAATGTCTGTATTCTCTCATTGACGTTGGTTCGTAAATAGTTGAACAGAAAAGATCTATGAAAACAATACCTTCAGAGTTTCATATAATGTATTAAACATTATAGAGACACTGCTTATATTCCCTTTATTTTTATCAAAATCTGTAAGATAATTTACACTGACAATCTTAGTTTCTTATTGAGCCAATTTGTCTCTCTTTAAGCAACACTTCTTTTTATCATTAAATCTCTATTCAATTTGCTTTGAAACGTCTTAAGTAGACGGAAATTTCCTTTTATTCTTAAAGAAAAATACCAATATTCTCATTTTAGTTTATTAAACAAGCCAAGATAAACTAAAAAAAAAGCTAACGTAAATTTTACTCATCTTATTCTATTATTTATAAATTCCATTTAGCTTCGATGTTATATATTGTTTTACCTATTAGGCCTACGTAGATATCGGCTAATATTGCAACATATTTAGAATGAAATATTTAATTATTTATAAACCATAATTTCTGTTTTAAATACAAGTCCAATTTCTTTCGACTCTTTTACAGCTTTTTATCACGTGAGATAAAAGCTGCTAATGTAGAAAGAATAAAAAACAATCCTAGTTAAAATGGAAATTCTATCTTTTTATGAATTTATCTAATACTGTATACGTATTGTAGAGTATGCTTTTGTACGAAAAAAAAAAAAGACAATAGTAAAAATTAGAAATCGAGGGGAAAAGTGAAAAAAAAAGTTGTACTTAATCTCTAGGTTTATTTTCGCTATATGTAGAATTAAGATCATCTAAGTATAAATCTATTGATAAAATTAATAAGTCTAAAAATATTTTTGAGTCTAAGTTTGCGTTAATAATGTTATTTTTTTTTGCTATTTTTTTTTATGGATGGATGATACGTGCTATTGAAAATCACGTGTATTGTAATATATGTAAATAAACTATTATAGGTTATTTATAAATTCTTTTTCATATTACAATTCTTTTTTAAATAAAGTAATAGATGAAAATTACGAGAGTACTAGATGAACATAGAATAATTGCATTGTAACGATTTCAATTGTCGTTCTTGCTGCGTTGATTAATCGAAAACCGATAATATCAGCTAGGGAATTCGATCGTAACAAAGCGAATCCTTGATAATATCCGTTCCGACATATCGCGTGACCCTAACTATAATCGTTTCAATCCGTTCTATTCTGATCCTAATGTTCTATTTCCTCATTTTTATTCATATCATATACCTTATTATTTATTATTCCAATAGATCATGACCTCGACGACTTTGAACTGCAAGTCGTACGTTATAAACCGGAAGGGCTTGACGCCCTATGCAAATCGACGAAATTCTCTCGCAGGGAGCTACAAATTATGTACAGAGGATTTAAACAGGTTAGAAATTTACGGGGAAGGTCTTAATTATTCAAAGAAACTTTACTATTCATAGAGATTTCAGTTGAAAATTTTATCTTTTCCTCAATCCATCTGCTTAACAATTTTCCATCTCCCCTTTCCAACTCTTTTTACATGTTCCCATATATAAATCATATTCTAGAATATAGTATTTCATTAATAAGCTTACTACTTATTAATTTTGCTGATCTTTACGAGATGAAGATGTTATAAAAGGTCATTAATTAATATTAAGAAAAACGGATAAACAAATTCTCTATAATTAACTTAAATAAAAGAGGAATATGCGGTTTTTTATCTAAAGGTAAATAGAGAGTTGATATTTAAATATTTCGAAGGTAAGAGATAAAGGAAACTGCAAAGAAAAAAGGATAAAGAATCGAGAAGAGTGTAAAAATTTTCTAACCGGAGGATGTATTTTATTGGTTCCTGATGAATATTACTAAAAATAGTGACAGTGACTTTTTACTCGGTCGACTATATAGAATGTCAACTTGAAGAGATGCAGAGTAGCTAGTTGCATCACGGACATCCTCCGTGATTAATTTGATTAAATGAGTGTGTCTATTCCCGCATTAGCACGCATTTACATATTAAGAGAAGAAAGAAAATTTTATCTAAGTTTTTCTTAAAATAATCTAATAAACGTTCTAATCCAACAGGATAATAGTTAATTATACGAAAAGAAATGGTATTCCCTTCCCTTTTTTTTAAATATTTACCAACACTCCTCGATATAAAAGTTCTCTAACGTTTTTATACCAGACTGTTAAGGGAAATTAAAGGCTTTTGGCGTCTGTTTTTATGCTTACTATATTTTTTAACGTTTGAAAACAACATTTTTAGGTTTAGATCATATATTATTCTCAAAAAATCCCCAATAGTAATCTATTCCTACTGAATCCTAACTCTTTTTACTTTTTTTCAGGAATGTCCCGCTGGTGTTGTAAATGAGGAGACGTTTAAAGAAATATATGCTCAATTCTTTCCTCAAGGAGGTGAGTTTATAATCTAAAATATATTTATATATATATTTATAAGTTTATATATTGTTTATAGAAGAATCATTTAGGTGTTTTGTACAATTAGTTGTGAAAAAAAAAAGAGGAAGATTCCCTAGATAAAAGTCACAGTGTAGATGTAATTTATTATGTTAATATCATCTATTGTTATTACGATAGGAGCGAATAAAATTCCTTATAGTTCAATCTATATATAAACATGAGAAAACAGTGGCTCTGTTTCTGAAAAGCTCCGTAAATACATCGCCTTTTTCACATGTAGAAAAGCCCATTGTACCACTCTACTCCCAACCCCAGAGATGATTGCAGCTGTCGGGTTGGTTAATTACTTAAAAATTACCGTTTTTTCCCAACCTAAACAAATCCTCTGTACACTACTATATGCATATATTTTTTTTCATTTATTTATTATTAGAGCTTCTTTTTTTTTTCTCTCTTTTTTTTTGAAATATTCCTCTCTCTTTCATCTATTTTTTCTCCTCTTTCTCTTTCTCTCTATCTTTCTCTTTATTCTTATATTCTCTTCTTTGGAAAAATGATAACACATTCCTTTCATTTCTTTTTCCTTTATTAGAGTTATTCCATTGAGAATTGAGATGATATTGTACCAGAGAAAATAAATTGTTACCTTTAATAAGCTTTAAGATGGTTTATTTGTATAATCTAGTTATTAAATTATCGATAAATCTAAAATTTTTTATAATTCTGTTTTAAAAAAAAAGAAAAAGAAAGAAAAACTGCTTATGTGGCAATTTATAGACTCTTTAAATCCTCAACGATCAATGAGATAACTACTTGAGAATAAGCAGCGCATATACTTACTTTTGTTATAATAATGTATCTAAACTGTTTCTTTATTTATTTATCTATAGCTTTTTTTCTTTTTCTTTTTTTTTGGCTATCTTATGAATTATCAAGAAATATTTAAATAAAAAAATACTCTATCAAGCTTTTTCTCCCTTCCTCATCTTATTTAATTTTCCTTTTTTCTCTCTTCTCCCTTATTAATTAGACGAAATAGGAAGGAAAAAATTCTTCTTAGACGCTCTAGTGAGTTTGGTTGACGTCGCTGTAAAATAATAATAATAATAATAATAATAATAATAAGAAAGAAAGAGAAAGTATTCTACATAGGGTGAATGCTTTTATCGGCTATTCTTTGTTAATAGTGAAATATCTATGAATTTCATTTTGAAAATATAATTAAGAAACATTGATCATCCCTAAAGCTAATTAGTAGTAATATAATATTCAACTTAGTTTAACCTTGCCTTACTTCCTAGTTTTAGCACGCAAACATTAATATATAATAATTTATGACAAGGCTTTTGACAAGGCTAGTTTGTACAGCGATAGAGTTTTTCGATTTTCTATAAGATATCTGCAATGAAAGGCAGAAAGAGCTCTATGAAAGCGTGTCGATAGATGGCGTTAATAATAGTAATAATAATAAAATGGGAAAATAACTTGATAGGAAATTTTGAGCAAAAATACCATGCTCTTAATAAATTTCCCCTTTGTTTATTATAGATTCAAGTACGTACGCTCATTACGTGTTCAATACGTTTGATCAAGATCACAATGGGACAATCTCGTTTGAAGAGTTTGTAATGGGATTGTCAGTTTTAGCAAGGGGAACTTTGCAAGAAAAATTACAGTGGGCTTTCCAGCTCTACGATGTTAATAAGGATGGAATAATAACAAAGGAGGAAATGTTAGACATTGTCGGCTCTATCTATGATATGATGGGACATTATAGTGCAGAGAACGATGCAACTCCTAGGCAGCACGTTGAATCGGTGTTTAGTAAAATGGATCAGAATAAGGATGGGGTTATATCGGTTGAAGAATTTATGGACTCATGTAAAAAGGTTTGTAAATATTTGCGAGGGAGGGAAATCTAATACTTATTCGAGGAAAGAATAAATGACACGTTTCGTCGTTTGGTGATTCTTCCACTTTTCTAAATTTATGATTAATTCCTTTTATTGTGCATGTATCGCTTGTTTCAGGATAAGACAATCATGCAATCACTCTGTGCTTTTGACACAGTGATGAATGGATGATGATGATGGTGGTGTTTCCTATAACTTCCCGATATTTGCATGGTTCGTGTATGCTTTTCTTTTTAACACTTTTAAACTAAAAAAAAAGAAACTAACTAAAAGTACAATATCTAAAATATCAAAATATTGTAATACTAGCCATTTTTATGGCATCTGTCATAAAAATATGATACTTTCCATATTTTCAAATTCATATGGTCATTTAAAATCAATATGTATAAAAAAATCTATAAAAACAACAAAGAGATAATAAGGTGTATTTTGCTGCTACTGAAATCCAACTCTCCTGGAGATTTACTAATCAATGGTTTATTTATCTAATAGCAATCAATCTAACAGTGGATGCGTCTAATCTTTCCTATATCTATGTATATGTTAAGTTTATACCTTCTACGTAACTAACATATACTCTGGCTTAAAATAATTTTGAGGATGGATAGAGTTTTCTTGTAAATTATTTTCTTTTTGTGCAGTGCTTCATTTATGCTAAAAAGCAAACTTTGGAGAGGGTTTACCCTCTCATAGTTGTTACTTTTTGCATAAATGCATGTTATTATGCACTTTTTATTAGTAAAAGAGAGTTAGCTTTTGGATTTCGTATTTAAAATTTCAAAATTTATATTCTTAATTAATTTGCATTTGAAAAGAACTTTTAATAGAAATTTCAACGATATCGGTCGATTATATACAATATATATAGAGAGAGAGTATATCTATATAGAGATCTATATTAATATATCTATATATTAATATATATCCATAATATAAAGTATAATTACTGTAATTAATTATTATATATTGTGTAACATTAATATAATTAACTTTTAAAAATGAATATACAGGATGAAGTCATTATCAAATCACTGGTTGTGTTCGATACGGTGCTTTAATTATGAAACGCTGTCTCTATTCCAAAACGTTTAAATTTTACTGCTTATCTCTCAACTAACTCCTCCAGCCTGTTTCATTTCAAAAATTTAAAAACAAAAAAAGAACCACAAAACTTGGAAAGATGATTAAATATGAAATAAAAAGAATCGTTTTATTATTTCCTTTTTGAAAAAAAACAAAAACAAAAACAAAACAAAGAAAGAAATAACTGATTGAATGAATTTATGAATCATTTTATTCGTCCTTTGAATACTATTTAAAACAAAAACTAACAAAAAAAAACCATATTAAAACCACATTCATATATGCCAAACTGCACTGAAAAACAGTGTGCCATTTTGTTGGAACAAAAACAAACATTCTCTTCTTGGAAATTTACTGCATTATTTGTTAAACATATACTATGTATATAATTATGTTTTATGTATAGAAGAAAAAAATTGCAGCTCTAGCACATACGTGTTGTATAATCTGTATTTATATATATATATATATATATATATATATATATATAAGTATACTGTATATTTATATATTTCATATGCAGTATATAAGAAAATTAAAGAGAACTATTTGTTAAATATATTATAAAATTATTGATAATTTTCGTTATTAAAGTCACTCAACGCACTCAAGTCAATTATCTAAAATGTAGAACGAAATTGAGGCTTACTTACTCCGCATTCTTGCCCGATAAAACCATTTTTTTTTTATTATAACAAAATACTTAAATTTACAAATGATTTAAAATTTTTTATCAATTTCTAACCCATTTTTTATTATTATTTTCAATTTTCAAGGTCAATACTTTCGTCAAAACAAACATTTCAATTTTAGTAAAACTTTTTCTCTTATCATTATTAAATTGCCAACGCCATCTATAGTAGTAAAAACATTGAGAAGATATCTAAATCTTTCAATTCGAATAAGATATTAATAGATCAAATAAATAAAATTTACATGCTATTTTTTGCACGGAAAATTCAATAAATGTAATCAGGAATAGAAGTAAAGAGGAAATGAAACGTAATACAATCACTACAATATTCTTCTTCCCCTTCTAAACTAGGCAAAAAATTGACCAAATTATTTTAGTAGGCGATATACGTAATACTATCTTGTGTTATTTTTTATCCTAATGTTTCAAATATATCTTTTTGAATATACAAATCAATAGATGAGTTAGTTTCCCTTTAGTCCTATTCTGGTGACTTATTTCCACATTCTATACTGTTGCTTCGAAAACCTATAGGGGATACCAGTTTGCATCAGTTTTATTATGTCCTTAAATAAAATAGTCTATAGTAAAGACATTTTCTATTTTGTTACAATTCAATGTTGTCAACAAACAAACAAAAATTCTGCATTCCGAATGAGCAAACACTTTATTATTATTCAAAGGGTTTAGCCTTTTGAAGCCAAAATCACCCACCCCAAAAAAATTGATGAGTTCTAATAATAGAGTGTAATAGTTCAATGGACAATCATTTTTTCATTTTTTAACTCTTGAGCTGCCAAACTTTATGTAGGTCATGTCTGGATTTTTCCCTCTAAACTTAAGTATTTAATATATCCAAAAGTCATAAAATTGATTTATAAATATATTTATATTTAGTTTCTTGTTCTTTATCCTTCGCATAACAAATTATCCTAGGACAATTAAAGAGAAGGAGATCAAATTCAATTAGCTGCTCTTTTCGGTACCCAAAGCTATATAATCATTACAGGAATCTTACGTTTTACACTACCTACTCTAGATGGCAGCACATTTAGCTTCTCTTTACAAAACACACGTAAATTGAAGAGCAACTAATTTATTGAATTTTGATTTTATTTTAATTATTAATTTATATATAAATATATAAACATAAACGTGTTAAGTACAAAAACAAGAACTTGACATAGATAATAACAAATAGATAAGAAAAGTAAGAGAGAATAATAATGTAAATAAATCAGTTGTAAAGAGTTTAATAGAATATTTATTACAATTAAAATATAATGGAATAAATTAAGAATTAGGTCATTAAATTAATATTTAACATATATACTGAAAATGTAGAATCCAATTCAAATTTGAAATAAAATGGTTAAAAACAACAACTAAGAGAAAAAAAAGACATCCGTATGAAACATTTCACAAACTTCTCATTAATTTTAAATGCCAGATTTACATTTCCTATCTTTAAGCCTACATTGACAATTATTAATTACATAAACATTTTAACTTTAAATAAATAAAAAGTTATTCGTAGTTTGATTTTTTTTTAACTGTATTCCAAAGAGTTTTCTATATATATCGTAAGTACAGTATTACTTAACTAGTTAAATTAATTACTTATATATATATATATATATATTTGCTATAACAAACAATCTACGTTCTAAACAACACTTTTGAAGGACTATATGGCTTACAAAGTCACACTTAAAAAAGAGGTTATAAACGAAAGGGAAAGGTCGTTAATTATAGCCGAAGCACTCGAAAAATCAGGCACCTTTCAAAATAATTCAAGTATTCAACAAAGAGCTCGACACTTATCCCCACCGATTTTACCACCAACCCACAAGCATTAGAAGGTCAAAGGAGATAAAAAGCGTCATAATAGACGCGTGTAAATAAGGAAAAACAATATTGATAGATAAAACTTTATGATAAATATACACTCCATTGACCACCCAAACGGTGGCAATTTATTTTGAAAATATATAGAATTTATCCTATCTTCCCCATTATCATAATATTTGTAAAATTCTACTTTATGGTAATTTAAAACTGTAAATGGCTTGTTTAGTTTTCATATCAAAAACGATTTATAGGCCTGATGCTAAATCTTGTCCAGGCAAAGAGTAATGGCATAGGTCCTTGAAAAACGTTTTAAAGTTTTATTCTTCGTATATTGTGATTTACTTTTAGTGTTATTATCAATATCATTTTTATTATTATTTACACAAGACATTTACAAATGTGACATAATTGTTATCTTTTTTATGAATATAACCATTAAATACTTAACTGTTAAATAGAAGGGTTTTAGGGTAAAAGATAACTTAGTAGTTTCAATTAATATGTTTAAAGATTGGATGTAGAGAATTTATGAACAATTTTTATTAATGGATCTTCTTGAGAGATCATAAGAATTTCGCTTAGGGTGATTATAAAACCCCATGGTTGTCTGTTTAGAAAACAAGCAAAATGCCTAAACAAGGAAAGAGGCGATAAAAAGTAAGTAAAAAGACACACCTGGGGTGCGCCATACCGAGAATGGCACCACGCTGAATGATATGTGTTAAGTAGTGACTGAATGATCGCCTCCAGAGGCAACAATGGCAGTATTCGTCGCTCATTTATCATTCTTATTTTCGTTCTCTATCGTCTATTTCCTACCATTTTCATTACTTTTCCCTAATCGATCTGACAGTACGGTGAACCTTCTCCGCCAATCATAATTCATATTTACTATGGCACGACGCTGATTGGTTGGTCAATTGGACTTCGACCTAAATTAACCCCTTTTTCATTTCTTAGACGTTGGTGTATCGGTTTTTCAAACATTTAAGGTAGGTTTTAAATTTCTTTTTTAAACCATTCTAATCTTATAAGTGAAGTGTTCCGTATACATTTTTTCATTGTATAGAAATGAATTAGGAATTGAATTTATTTATATAAATTATTAAAATATCTTATTCAAGGTAGAAACTAATTGACTTTTTGTGAATTGAGAAAATTTGTCTAAAGAACAATCATTTTATCTTAAAAAACAAAAACAAGAAAGAAAAACAAGATAAAGATAAACGAAATCATCACGTGTTTTTAGACAGCGATTTGAGAAAATAGTTCAAACAAGGATTGAAAAATTATTCAGCTCATTAAAAAGGCAACAAGTCGAACAAACAAACTTAAGAGGTTCGGTGTATTTAACCTCCGCTTTGTTTGCTCGCCACAAACAACGGATTTTTTTCCATCCAAAATTTTTTTTGACAGAGATTTTATTGCGTAACCATAAACTATCATCAATCTTTCCAGACAATTGGAGAGCTACAAACAATAGACTTAGAGATATATAAATGAGGATATGTATGCTTAATTGATAAAGTTACAATAAACAGACGTAAGGGCAGGACAACAGGATGTCAGGCGTGATTAATATCCGAAGAGAGTCGATCTTGACAAACGTACTCCGTATTTTAGTTCGTAGGCCTATATGAAGATGCTCTTAGCGTTATCTACAAACGGTAGAGATAAGATTTGTTGTGCCGCGGCCATTAGGAGGGAATTTCCTTATCGGATCCATCGAAGGAACTGTAGTTTGGGAAAAGTGGTGGAAATAATCAAAATATAAACACTTTCTTTAATCATTGAATTTGCGCAGACCTGTTTCTTCTGTCTTGTTACTTATTATTTTTATACAAGTAATATTAAAGCTTAGGTTATTATCCTTTTAAAGGAAAAGCAGAATAAATTCAGCAGACAAAAAGAATGAAGATAAATGAAAAACCGTTCTTGTTAAGATACTTAAAAGCCGTGAATAATGAGAGTGAATCAATCACTCTATTTTCCCTTTTATATTTACCTCCCTAATGGCCGTAATCACTATAATTTTTTTCCAATTGAAGGTCAATAAAAAAAAAATCTTTGGTTGTGATGTGCTTTTAGTGGTCTTTTTAGTCGTATTCAATCTATTAATCTATGTAAATTAGGGCGTGGTTAACTAATTTCTCTAAATGTTGTACAAATCAGAAAAAAACCTTTTAAAATCCATTAGATCCTCATTTTCGGCAATTTCTAAATAACTTAAGTATAAGGTAAAATAGGCCATATTTTGTCCAAATAGCTTTGTAAGCATAGACTAAGATATTCAATTTGGTCGGCTTATGAATAATTTATAAACTACTTGAGATTGAGAAAAAATATAAGCCTGATTCTCTCTTCTTCTCCTTCTTTCATCTTGTTAAAAGTTAATGAATGATAGCTAAATTTCTATTTATTTCGAGTGGTTAATGATAGAACTTACTAGTTAATGATCTCTAAAGATCGCAATATGATTTTGTTAAATAAGTTTAACTAGAGAAAAGAAATATATAGACTCTTCTAACGAGCTATCGAATATCCATTTAAATGTGACAATTGATCAAAAAGGGAAGATACGATCGGTATAGAAAACGATTGCCCGAAGCGGCAATAAAAAACCAATGCTAATTATTAATCATCCTTTTACGATAGTAATTTAAATAGATTTACAAGTTTAATTTATTCGTATTATGAAGCGGCCGACTTGTTTGAGTTTTGACTTAGGATTTATTAGACTATTAAACAGCTAATAAGTATACGATTCGTATACATTAAAATGAAATTTAAGGAGTTTTTATCTAGTGCGCAGGCGCGAGATTTTTCCTGATCGTTGATTGGTTGAGAAGTTTTTTTAGGCGTTTAGAGTGAATCCCTCCGGTTGAGAACGGTTGAGTATAGTCTTGTTTTTGTCTTTCATCCGTTAGAGTGTCTGTAATTATTAATGAGATATTCTCTAACCACTCTGGAATAGGCCTATAGGTATATCGGTAGTACTTTAGTACAAGTGCTAGCCTCTTACGCGCAAGATATCCATAACCTAAGAGACTGTCAATTACAATTATAAGCAAGAGACCACTTAAAGGATAATGATAACAGATAAATGGAGTTTATGCACGACGATTCCAGATTTTCGATGAGGAATATTTTAAATTTACAGACAACTGAAAATTTGCAGAACGGACCCCAGATTCCGAATCAGGCTATGAATTTTAACGGACAGCACGAAGCTTTAACATACCAAAGTTCTTGTGACTACCAATATCCATCGAATTGCTGTCTACCTCCACCATACGGCTTTCAAAATGCCCATACCAACTATGAAACAGGTCTTCAAAACGTCGGCTATCGTCAAGATTTAACAATCGGCAATAAAGGTTAATATTACGCTTTTACATTTATTTATATATATAAGATCCAATATTTATGTATAACTGATACATATTATAGCAAAGATTTTTAATATTGTATTCTTTTCCTTTATTTATATCTATCTATCCATTTCCTCTCTTCAATCAATAGAAATTTTAACATTCTTAAAGTATTCTATCAACAAACGATCAACTAAACACCATTTTCGAACTAATTACACTATCTTCTTTCAAAACATATTCATATATGTTTTCTTTTTCGCTGTTTTTTTTTATCTATTTAGATCAATTAATAAAGCAAATAATATTCTACTTGGACCACCGCAAAGCTTCCTTTTTTTATAAGAAAAATATAAGAGTGTACTAGAGGAAGAAGTCTTGAAATTTTGAATTTTATAAAAGAACCTTTTATTTCGCTTATCTTATCATATCTAAGACAAAGCATTTTTACTTGGCATAAGATTAACGTCATTCTTTTTTAAGCTTTTTTATTGTCTGCAATTATTTTTAGTATATCAATGATATACAGATGACCTAAATTAATTTTTATTCTCTCTTAGTTGTTATTTTCTTTCCTTATCTCTTTCTTCATTTTCGTTAAAGGTAGATGTACTTAATCATAGTATATTAAGAGGAGGGAGGAGAAGAACAACAACGTTGAAAGTTCCTCCACTCTGTTCTTTGTCCAAGCCAGTAAGACACTTTAGAGTGTCGAATGTTTATACTCTGTCTAATAAGATTACATAATGTTTGTAATATATTTATTCATCACTTTCTTAAAGTGAGGTCAAAGCAAAATGAAAACACACACACATACACACACACACACACGCATCAACCATCAAATTTGAAAACAAGTAAAAAATAAAAACTAGAACAAACTCCCTCCCTTTAAATCCATATTCTTTCTATCTTTCAAAACCAATAAATTTTATTCTATATAGTTTTAAGCTCAAACTATACTTAATTTTCCTCTTATTTCAATTTTAACTGAAACCAGCCGGGCATTTTATTTTATTTCTTGTCTCATTGTTTCTATCCAACTACATAAGATATTTAAAAAAGAAAAGAAAACAGGAATAAGCCTACCTAGACATCTTCCGTCTTGTGGACATTTTAGTTTACTTACACTCTAGGATACCTTTGCCTAATTGGGTAAAAGATCCTTCAAGGCCCCGTTAAATCAATATTTAAAGGGCGACTATTTTTCTTTGACCCTGTAAATGAAAATTGCGCAATATCTTAACACTTAAACAGTCTTAGCGGTTTCTTAAATATATTAAATATATATATATATATTCTCTTTTTTTAATCTTGAATGGATTAGTGGAAATAGAATAAGTAGAACGAGAAAGATATTTAATAAGTACTTGTATTACGATAACAAGTTTAATTTTTTCACAAAGTGAACTAGTTAACAAGTAATTTGTTATCTAACAAAAATTATATCAAAAAATGTGAAAAAATGTATCGATAAGATAGTTTTATTGCAATTAATTTATAGTTTGCGGCATGGAGAAACCTCCCGAAACGAATTATCTTCCTCTACCAGCTTCATCACCTCAAACAATGGTAAAAAAGAAGACTTCTGTTGATCCAGTCACCAAAATCGATCCCGAAGAATGCCACCTTCTAAGACAGAAGACGAAACGAAAACCTCGTGTTTTATTCTCTCAAACTCAAGTTTTCGAATTGGAGAGGAGATTTAAACAGCAGAAATACTTGAGTGCTCCCGAAAGAGATCAGTTAGCTCGACTTCTAAAACTCACTTCTACTCAGGTGAAGATCTGGTTCCAAAATAGGTTTGTAATCATTTTAAACCTAATTTTTTCTTAATAAATTACCTTCAAGTATCAAATGTCACCACTCAAACTTTAATTTATGGGTTGAATCGTGATTCATTGAGAGAATTTCTCTAAAAATATACTTTCAAGAAAACATATTTATCTATTGAAAAAAAAAATAGATTTTTGAAATCTCTAGATCTCTAACTATATGTTTATATATATGTGCGTGCTATTATTAGTATTAAATATTCATTACTTTTACTTACTTATAACTTTATCTATATCTTTTCTTTTTCTTCACATTAAATAGAAGATATAAAATGAAGAGACAAAAACAAGATAGAACTTTGGAATTATCAGCAATTCAATCGCCTAGAAGAGTAGCCGTTCCCTTGATTGTTAGAGATGGTAAAACTTGCGTTACACCATCCAACCCCTATTCGTCGCACTATGGTTCATTTATGTTTGCGCCATCTACAGGGTATTCAGTTCCACCAGCTCAAACAGCGCAGAATGCATCCTATATGCAGAGTACTATGCAGAATGGTATAAGGGCTTGGTAATTTATATATAAGTATCTCTTTGCAAAAATAGAAAACTTTTACAAACATTAATGTTTTTTGTCTCAGTTAAATGTTATATATTTTATAATCTTTGCTTAAAATATGCTATTTTGGTAGTTATTCTTTTAATAAATATAGGATTGAAGTTATTTCAAATAAGCATCTCGGTTTTCTATCTTAATACATCTAAAATATTCTATATTTCTTTTCATTGTTTCGTGTAAAACGATAATAGGTGATTGTCAGAAGCCACTTGAATTTTTGATATTTTGTATCAACAATTCAATATTGATACATTGTAACACCCTTCTCATTTTTCAACTATGAATTCTATATTCTAATTCTATTAGTATTTTGAATAATTCTTCGCTCTTTTCGTATATTTGTCTTAAGAGAAATATGAGAAGGTTTTTTCTAGATTACGAAATCTTATAGATAATTATTTCAATAAATAAAAAATTTAGTACAAATGAGATTACGTTAAAATTGAAAAAATAATCACTAAACGATTAGGGAAACAAAGTCAAAGTTCTATAAATGATGAATAACTCCTGATAAACAATTTCGTATTCCACCTAACAAGTAGGCTAATTTCAATAAGAAACATAATAAAAATTGACTGTTTCGTCTATTTCCATATTATATAAATTTATAATATTTTATAATTGAAAGGCATGGAGAAATAGGAGAAAGAAGGAGAGAGAGATAGATAGAGAGAGAGGAATAAAGGGAAAAAACTGCAAAGTTTCCTTCCAATAGTATTGAGCAATGAATTGAAAAGAAGATAAATAAGCAAAAAGTATTTTTAGGTAACAAGTAAGAAAAGAATTAAATCATAAAAAACTGTAAAGATTTATAAAGGTGAATAGTATATTGATATATTCTAAGTATAATACAATACACATTGTTCCTTATAACAAATTAGTAGAAAAATGCAGTTATTGCAAACACTGTTGGAGAATACTATTTAAACATTAATTAATCCTTGTTTTGCCTTGGTGTTAACAAGCTACATTTTCTTGTTTAAAGCATTTACCTATACTTTAAGTTTTGATTAATATATAAGAAAACATAGGCGATTTGATTAAAGAAATAGTTTTTAAGTTTGTAAAACCTGAGAATAAGATTTCTTAAAGAGAAGAAAAAAAAAGAAACATCTGAAGATAAAGAAATCATTACTCATTAGAATACTTGTAAAGTAAGTTTTGTATTAAACTGAATGCATTAGAGAAATATAAAAAAATCTCAGGACTTTTTTCATATATAATTACTGTTTTTATTTAGAAATGCAACAGAATTACTTTATTGTAGCGATAAAATTTGATATTTTAACGATACCTGAGTCTAATTCTCTCCCTCCCCCCTCCTTCTGTTATAATCTTATCAGGTAGGCTTCTTGCTAAGCGTATGACATTTAAATGATGCCTGATTGGCAGGATTATTTTTTTTATGTGACATTAAAATTATTAAATATAATAACAAATTTTAGAAAAAGAAAACGTCATAATGAACATAACATCAGCAGTTGTTAAAGATACTAATGGAACAAGTTCCACAGGAGCAACTTGTGAATGGTATCTTTTTATCGTTGGAGGCTGTATAAGAAGTTTTCTATGTGCATTTGGCACTATATTTAATAGTTTGGCCGCTTTTGTGTGGGCTACGATGTCTAATAAACGATGGAATTTGACAACAAGTAGTATACTTGTCTTGGCCTTGGAATTTTCTGATATACTTCTACTTGTTTTAAAGTTTATTTTAATATCTTTTCCGGCTTGCTTGATTTATTCCAGTATAGAAACGATAAGGAATTATTCAAAGATTCCTGCGTATGGCATGCGATATTTGAATGCAGTTGGAACAAGTGGTAGAATAACATCAAATTGGCTAATAGTAGCTATCTCTATTGACAGATATTTGGCTATATGCAAACCAACCTCTGCTAGAATTTTCACTCCACAAAAAGCTAAAATGATAGTAGTTACATTCTATATAGTTGCATTTGCATTTGCTTTTGTGAGAAATTTTGAATTTGAACCTCGTTTTTATCAAAAAACACAACGTTGGCACTATAGTCCAACAGATTTGAAAAAAAACGAAATTTATGGCATTTCATACAGAATAATATTACATAACATTGTAGTTATAATCATTCCTTTCGTAGCAACATTGTTACTCACGATCTACATTCTAAAAAGTCTTAATACGAAAGTCTCAACCGATAATTCCGTTTTAACCTCTAAAGCTAGATATTTAACAAGAACTCTGATGTCTGTTAATATACTATTCGTAATCTGCTTTTCGTTTGAAATTTTTAGATTAATAATATCTGGATTATATTTTAAGAAATCGATATTATGCGGACATCCATTTATGTATTTCGCCCTTTTAACTGATAATATAACTTTAATCAATTCATCGGCAAACTTTTTCCTTTTTGCCTATTTCAATTCAAATTTTAGAAAGAGAATTACAACATTGTTTGCATTGAGAAAGCCTGATAATTCTACAGAAGATATTAATTGCCATAGTAATCCTAGTAGTAGCAGTAACCATACTTCAGTGGCAAAATATTAAGTCAAAATCAGTTCTCTATTTACACTTCATTGTTATTGTCAGTATATAAGTTTGCATTTATACTAATTACTCAAGATTGTCTAGATGTATGTTGTCCTCTTCATAGTATTATGCTGTTGTTAAACTTGATCTACTTTTTGTGAATAGTAATAGTAACTATACATTCTAATAAACTCTCTCAATTTAGCGAAGTAAAGATTATTGTATTTTCAATAATGAAAAAATGTATACTTTAAATAAGAAAGATATAAAAATTTTCATTAACTTATACACTTATACAGTACTTTTAATAAAGTTATTTATTGTAAGTGGTCTTAATAAATCATTGGTATCTACTAGCCAACATTCATTTCGTCCTCGTTTAGCTAACCATGCTCTATTAAGAAAATGATCTACTTTTACGGCTCCGGCGAATGAATTTTCTTGTACTCTTTCATAGAATTCAAACATTTTTTGTTCAATAGTTCCCATTACGCCAGTATCAATTTGATAAAGTGATGATAGTTCAAAGTTCAAAAATCTACTTGATACATCATTAGTTTGATGATAGATGTAAATTGTTGGAAAATTAGCGTGATGATGCTTTATGGCCAAACCTTTTTCTGATTCTGATATATGAAAATCGTGAGTATCAATATTAAATGGATCCAATGAATCCAATTCAATTAATCGATTGTTTACTATAACTCCATCAACAGTAATCACTACTTCTCCAGCAGATGTTTTTATAATGACACTACTCATGTAGTAATCATCTCTCAGTACGCCATAAATAGATATATTCAAATGCCGATTTCCAGCGATAAATATATATTGATTAGATTCACCAACAACATCATAACAAATCCTGACAAAATTTTTCGTATTGCTATCTCTAACAGATTGAAGAAAATGTGGGTCGTCATTAAGAGTTCCAATTTGATTTTCAGGTTCGCCAGCGAAAACGTTTACAGTATTTGAAGTATAAGTTTTAAGCGTTTCTTTTGAAATACAATTAAGAAACACCGTAGCCAAAAATAAACCAGAAGTAATATGTACGGAAGGATCCACAGTCAAACTATACTGTCCTTTATCACCATTAGTCTGCAGATGATGAGCATTTAGAACGTTCAACTTGGATATTTTTAATCTAATGAGGGTATATTACCATTATTGTCGTTATGCACAAAAAGAACAGACTAAGCTAAAGAATTTATATTTTTAATTTAAAGTGTAACTAACCGGCAAATGTCTCCTTCTGGTTTATGATAGAATATTTTACCAACCGAATTCTTATCAGGAATAAAGAGAACCGGTGTTGGTGATATTATAGCGTTCATTCGAAAGCGTCTTATATTTTTTACTTACTTACGAAGAAAGAAGTGTTTCTCTTTTCTTTAAAAAAAGTTCACTCAGCCTTTATATACTGTTTTTTGCTGGATGAGTTTACTCTGGAAAACTAACACTACTCATTTTGTAAACTGCTTATTTACTTTATTGATCTAGAAAAATGACGATTAATCTATTTTTTTTCTTTTATAATTAAAACATGTAATTACGTCGTTTTATCAAAATTAACAGCCAAAATTTCCGATATATATCTAAAATATATATCACGCCAATGATAGAAGGATATCTTATGAAAATTCATAAGGGATCAATGGAATAGATGAAAAAGAAATTTTAATAGCTTCTAGCAGATGGCAAAGTCATTTAAGGTGAATAGTCGAGTTGAAGAGCGAAATGATAAAGAAACAATCACGTTTTGTAAAAGATCATACAGAATTGATTGAAGTAAAAAGTTTCCAATAATAATTGAAAATCCTATTATCAATTTTTTATTTAAAATTTAAACGTGTCCCATTTTTTCTCTTTTTTTAATCTACGACTAAAACGAGTGAGTACTTTTAAGATGAATGATATAAATATCAGAGGCGAACAGATTAAAATCAGTAACGTAAGGTGAGTCGGGACGAGTAGATATGGCAAGTATAGTTCTCAGTCCAAGTCCACTAAACGTTGCACTTGGGGGACAAAATCAACTTGGCATGGGATTTCAAGGTGTAACCAGCTGCAAGTAAGAGAGTAATATACAGAAACTACAGGTGTAGACACATAGTTCTAAACTGAAAAAATTATAACAGAGTAGTTGGAGCAGATCCGAATCTAATGGAAATATCGCCATTCATTTTTACTGGCTTCAAGTCAGGATTTTTTAGGATCAGCTTGAAACCAGCGGCGTCCGTTGGTCTACTTTCGGCAATACATCTCCTCTGTATGACTATTTTCAACGGTGAAATTAAGTCGAATTCTATTGAAGTACACGGAATTGATAATAGCATTATGGGTGATCCTCATTTTTTTCAAGTCGTTTTCGATTCAAAGAAAAATTCAACAGAATCTATTTGCTATGATGTTACTGGTAAATCAGGCCAATTGATAGTTATCGCTAGTAAAAGTGATCCAGGGATAACTGTTTTTGGAAGATTAAAAGATGATTATTATATGCACGAAATTATTATAGCAAAATTGGATAAAAATTTAACTATTAGTTTGAAAGGGATCCGATTTGGTGATAAAGAGATAGAGTGGCTGTCATCTTGGACCAAAGAATTGCGTGTGGCAGATTTTACATATAAAATGACAAATAGTCGTGTAGACGTTAATGTAGTTACCAAAGATTTTCCTACTATGTCTGTAACAAGAGGAGTACACGGAATTTCAAGTATGCATCTTAATGTTGAATTTAGTACCACGGATACTATAGAGGGTGGTCTAATGGGTCATGTGAATAGAAACAATTATCAATTCTTTAACAGCGTACAACGATTTTCTGCTTATGGAGCTGTAAAAGTAAATAGTATCATGGCGCCGGCTTGGCTAAAAACAATGGGACATCAATCGTGCTGGTATATGGCTCTTAAGAATCTTCTAGCGCCATCTACCATCAAAGATTACATACGTGACTAACTTGTAAGGAGACAAACAGAAGATGTGACAAATATGGACTATATACATAATAAGGCGTCTTCCCCCCCAATTAATAAGAATACATTTTTCAAATACCGTAAAACATTCATTCATTATTGACTTTATATATTTTAGATATTTTAGGACTTCTTTGATGACTTTCGTTGTAAACTTTTCCTTCTCTCTATCCCATCTTTTTACCTTTAAAAAAGAGACAATCTCCAGAATGTAATACTTTTTTTTGTATAAAATATAACTTTGTAGACATATACATTTGAAAATAACGCAGCAACAGTCTAATTAGCGATACGTTATATTTTAATTAACTTAATAATATTATTAAAATTTATATAATTATTCTACTTGGATCTAGAATATACCTTTCAGCTAAATCTAACAATAATAATGTTATTAATAATAGTGATAGCGTTAATAGATAAAGATTTATTACAAACAACATACTATGTATATATATATATATATATGAATATCCTTACACTTTTCGTTTCACTTTGATCTTGACAAAGGCGAGAATCCGGCTGTACCTTGTTCGTAACTTATATATATATATATACTGTATATGAATGTAGGGATATATGTTAGTTAATACTATACAATTAATTATACAAATATAATTGCATATAATTAACGTAGAACAGGGTTCTTGTTATGACATTATATATATTTTCCAAGGTCATTCAAGAGGAAGACAGTTAGGTTTTTGATTAAAGTAATACGTGTAGAGGTCATGTTTCGCTTTTAATGACGTTTACAGAGCATGCGTGGAAACTTTGTAAAGCGTCACCAAGTTCTGTCTATTAATGTTGGATATTAGTAATTGAAGGAAAGAATGAGAATTCTATTTGCTTTTTATTTTTTATGCTTTTCTTCTACCGTTGATAATCTGGAAGAGATTAAAGTTGGTGTTATTATGATTAGAGATCATGGGGCACCATTCGACTGGAAAAAGTCAGGCTCTGCTATTAGGCTGGGAATCGAAAGAGTGAATGAAGAAATTCTCAACGGTTCTGGCTATTACATAACCTCTATTGAACGTCAATACGGCCCTGATTGCGATCAGAAGAAAACCCCAGGTAAACTCAAAGAGTAATATTAAACGTAAATCAAACAAATAGGAATTATAAAAGAATTGTTTATTAGCTATTTCGGCCGAGCTATATTATAAAGAGAACGTGTCTGCAATATTTGGTCCAGGATGCTCAGGAGCTTTAGATGCCGTAGCTTTTATGGCGGCAAATTGGAACCTGCCAATTATTACTGGTGAAGGTGCCGCCGGCAGATTTAGCTACAAAGAAAACTATCCTACTTTAGTCAGATTAGCTTACTGTCAATGCGCTTTGAGAAGAGTTTTTGGCTCTATTTTTAAATATTTCAACTGGTCATCGATAACTATTTTTACAGACGTTAGCAATGAATTTTACACTGAAATGTCAGATACTTTAAATGATGGCCTACGACGTATGAAAGTGTATCCTTATACGGAAGATTTTGATAGTAGACATTATCAAGATGATCATGGAAAATACGAGAAACTCTTAAAGGATGCTAGTGAAAGATCACGAAGTATAACAAATCTTTCCTATTTCTTTTTATTGTTAAGAAAATATAAATATAGTTTGTTTTATTTGATAGTCTTTATCTTTATGGCCAATGGAGATATTAATAGAAAATTGCTCATTGCTGCATACGATCTAGGATACATTGAAAGTGGGGAATTTGTTTTAATGGACGTTGAATTATTCAAGGACTATTATTGGGGATATTTCGACTGGAAAAGAGGTTTGAAAGACGATGATAAAGTTCGAAAAGCGAGTGAAGCTGTGATAAGAGTACGATTGCAATTAGAAGAGAGTGAAAAGTTTACTGAATTTTCCAAAATTATTAAAGAAAGAACACTAAAAGACTTTAATTATACATATAACGTTGGAGGAGTAAGTTACATAACTGCTAGATAGGCTTAATAAGTAGTCATTTGTGTGAAATTATAAACAGGTCAACTTTTTTATTGGAGCATTTTACGAGTCTATTATTTTATATGGAGAAGCCTTGAAAGAAAGTATACAAAAGAAATTAGATCCAAGGAATGCAAAACAATTTATTAAATTATTTGAGAATAGGACGTTTAATGGAATTACTGGAAAGGTGTATATGAATGAAATAGCAGATAGGGAAGCAACTTATGAAATAATGGATATGAATCCCGTAACAGGAAAATTCGAGGTATTCTAAAAGCAAAAATAGAACTGTCTCTTTGAATTCTTTAGTAAAAGGCTTTACAGAAGTAGTGATGCACTTAGGCGATAGCAAAAAAAAAGATTTCATTGTTATTTAATTCTTTAAAGTTATTGAATCTGAAAATTCTCTTCATCTAATTGGCGTTTTTTTATAATATAGGTTTTCGGATACTATCACGGATTCTCGCTCAAGTTCGAACCCGTTTTAGGTAAAAAAATCTTTTGGACAGGCGGTAGAACAAAGCCGCCTTTAAACGAACCGATATGTGGCTACGAAGGTAACGCTCTTGCTTGTATCAAATCAGGTACATTTTCCTTTGAATGCATTGAGATGATAATAATAAGAACTTTTTTCTTTAAATGTTAAATTAACATGAAGAACCCTTAAGTACTTCAACTATTGCTTTGATTGCAACTGCTTGTTTGCTAATTCTATCTTTAGCCGCAGGTTTTATCGTTTACAGGTAATCAATATTTATCTTTTATCATCTAATTGCCTAAATTTCGTCTGCAAATAATCATTACGATCTCATCAATTTGTGATTACAGAAAGATGAAATTAGAGTCCGAAATATCCGACAATTCATGGATAATATCTTCAGACGAAATAACAGTTCAAACAACCTTAGCTAGAAGCTGCTCAATAAGATCAAGGATTGTTGAAGTTTGTTTTATTTATAGTTAATTTTCTCCTTTCATAAATATTGATGTTTCCATAGAACGATCCAACGGTTGACATGAAATCGACAAAGTCGAGTAGAAGTTATTTATCCGGTCAGGCATTTATCGAAACCGCAAAATATAAGGAAGCAATTGTTGCTTTAAAGTATTTCTCATCTGATAAAAAATTGAATATCACCCGTAAAATAAGAATTGAAGTTAAACAGAGGCGTTTGATAAGCCATAATAATGTATTAAAATTTTATGGTTCAATTTTAGAACCACCAACAAAGTCTGCCCTTTTACATGAATACTGTAAGAAAGGAAGTCTTCAAGATCTTTTAGAAGATGATAATTTCGATTTGGATTGGCCCTTTAAATATTCTATTATTAATGATATAGTTAAGGGAATGCAGTTCATTCACTCTTCCGTTATTGGTGTACATGGAAATTTGAAATCATCCAATTGTTTAATAGATGATAGATTTATTGTAAAATTGTGCCATTTTGGTTTACCATCTTTTTTGAAGTTAACAGAAAAACAAAAAGAAAATACACACGCATTTCACGAATCTCTTTTGTGGACTGCACCTGAAATATTAAGAACATCTAAGTCTAAATTTTCAATGGAGTGTTCACAAAAAGGGGATGTTTTTAGTTTTGGTATTATCGTTCAAGAAATAGTACTACGAAGCTATCCGTATTCTATTGAAAGAGATACGCAATCTGTAGAAGGTCTCATTATATTTTCACCTTCAATCAGTTTAGCTTTCTTTTTAAGGTATCTTCTAATTGAATTTCCCCCTTAATATAGATATTATTAAAAAGATCATTGAGGGTTGTAAGCCAGTAACAAGACCTTTGATACCTTTGGATCCGGGTAACAGGACTGCTATTGAAATTACCAGTAAATGCTGGGAAGAAGATCCTAATGATAGGCCAACTTTTATTGAATTAAAACAACTAATAAGAAAATTAACAGGGTAGGAAAAGAAAATCTACTTTAATATAGGGTGTTATATTTAGCCTTTCCCTTCCCCCCTCCCCTCTCCAATTATATCCAGATTAAAAGAAATAAATATAATGGATGATTTATTGAAAAGAATGCAGCAATACGCAAATAATTTAGAAACCATTGTTGAAGAAAGAACGAAACAATTAGGAGAGGAAAAACGAAAAACAGACGATTTACTTTTACAGATTTTACCAAAGTATTTAATTAATTACTTTCGATAATTAACCGGGGTTTTATACCTAGGTGTTTCTTTTCTTTATTACAGAACAATTGTTGACCAACTAAAAGCTGGTAAGACAGTTACTCCAGAATCATTTTCAAGCGTTACTATATACTTTAGCGATATTGTTGGATTTACAATGATTTCCGCTAACAGTACACCAATTCAAATTGTTAAACTATTAAATGATTTGTATACAATGTTTGATGAAATTATATCTGAATTTGACGTTTATAAAGTCGAAACAATCGGCGATGCTTATATGGTTGCTTCTGGTCTACCCATTAGAAACGGTCTAAATCATGCTAAAGAGATTGCAAATATGTCATTGCAGCTATTGGAAAAGGTTAAATCTTTTAAAATACAACACAGACCTGACGAACAGCTAAAATTAAGAATTGGCGTTCACACTGGTCCTTGCGTAACAGGTGTTGTAGGTTTAAAGATGCCTAGATATTGTCTATTTGGAGACACTGTAAATACAGCGTCTAGAATGGAATCAACAGGATGTCGTAAGTATTCAAGCTATTCCGAGCATTCTATTACAATAGAATAAATCTTATTTCCAGCTTTAAAGGTTCACTTAAGTTCCCATACTGCCGAAATATTGGATATGTTTAATGAATTCCAATTAGAATGTAGAGGAGAAATTGAAGTAAAGGTATAATACACTAACGTAGAAAGCTATTAAACATGGTTTTTTCTTACAACTTCCGTATATTAATAATTATATTTATTAGGGTAAAAATAAAATGATTACATATTGGTTAATTGGTTAAAAAAGAACTAATATCAACACATATGTTAAGATAAGGAGGCGAAATAGCAAAAAAAAGGGAGAAAACACTTTAAACAGAAGTTCTTCATTTACTGATCAAGATAGAATGACACTGCTTTATTATGTTTTATTATGCTATTCTATTGTCAGTGATTAATTATAAGTTGGTTGTAGTCGCTCTATCGATAGTTATATAGACAACTTTTGATAAATATCTAATAATGTTGTTAACTATTATTAAACAGTAATTGAATATCCCTTTTATTCACGAGATATTGAGTATATACTGTATATATATATATATATATATATATATACTGTATTTATGGATTTTTGTTGTGTATTGCATATCAAGTTTCATTCAAATGTCCATAATTCCACATATTACCTCGATTTGTCTCATGCTGGTTATTAGCCTCTCTGGAAGCTGGTTGATCTACTCCATTGCCGATGTGAACGGAATCTCTTTGACCATCGTAAACTATGTTATCAATACCTTGTGTATCATTTGTCTTTATAAACATTTTATGCAAAATTCTCCTATTCATATACACAAGTATACCGATACAAAGTGCGGCTATCAAAAATCCTAGTATCCCGGCAACAATTGCTCCTATTTCGTTATGACTTAATTTCTTGACGACTGTATCACTTGTTTCTGTATCTTCGCAGGATCTTGATATTTCTGCATTCATTGAATCAATTGCTACAACGCAAACCACGTAGTATTTGTGAGCTTTCAATTTCGAAAATTTATACTCTCTGTCCGAAAGCGGAAGATGTTTTGTTAAGTGATAACTGTTTCCATTTTTACCTTTTGAGGTTATGAAAAAGCTTTTAATTGGTATATCTTCATTTATTTCCCATATTATAGTAAGAGAACTTGACATTTCAACAACTCTTGTTATAGATATAACCGATTTTGATGATTTACCACCACTTGGAATAGGTTTTGAATAATTACACCATTTCTTTGAGCTACCCCTTGGACAGAGGTCTGCATAAACTAATTGGCTTTTCTTCAAGTTTTTCGGATACCTACAAACTGGAGATTCTAAATGTAATTTGGAATTTTTCAGTTTTTCAGGAGTATATAGCTTTTTCATCCAATTTAAATCACAAGTGCAATTAACGGGAGTATAATCCCAAAATAAGTCAATTTTGTCCAGATTTAAACCCTCAAATTCACATTCGTAAATCGTCTTTATCTTTGTACCAATAATGAAGACTTGCTTTAAGAACTTCAAATGAGTTATAGTAGGTAAACTGGTAGTTTTTGTATAGCTCAAGTCCAGTGTTTCTAGTCGAACATAATTTTTAAGGAAATCTTTGTCAAGTGAAATATTCTTATTCGATCCCAAACTTATAAAGTCCAAACTAGGGGCAATAGTAGAGAATAAACTAGGCGAAACTGATGCCAGCTTATTATTCCATAGAGAGATGTATATAAGTTTAGTCCACGATTTAAAAGCATCCTCATCAATTGTTTCAATTAAATTATCGGACAGATTTATGTGTTCTATACTAATTAACGAATGCATTTGTTCCCTTGTAATACGTTTTATTTTATTCTTTTCTAAAAACAACGTATCTACTCTTGTAAGATTTAAGAAGGCGTCGTCGTCTATTTTACTTATGTTATTGTAGCTCAAATCCAGGTACTTGAGTGAATTTTCAACACCTTCAAATAAACCGTTTCCTATCGAAACAATTGCATTCTTTTCCAATGTAAGCGTCTCGAGTTTCATTAAACCGTCGAAAGTTCCCCTTTCAATAGTTGCTATTTTGTTTTTCGATAAGAATATTTCTTCTAAGCTTATTAAACCGGTAAATGAACCTTTCGTCAATTTTTTCAACCTAATACGTAAAATTTATAAGAAAATTTATCTTTCAATTGAAAATATTATAAAAGGAATAGGAGAAATTAAATACTTACTTTTTATTGCTTTGAATCCAAATAGTCTTTGTAACATTTAGAACTTTAATTGCTTCTGGAATAGCCGAAAATTCATTTTCATCTAAATCCAATGATTTAATTTGTGAAAAACTTTCAAAGTAATTTTTCGGTATAGTTTTTAATTTATTATTTAATAATGAAAATTTTTCAACAGTTATCTTCGTTTCTGTCGTTTCCGGTACAGTTACAAGACCTTTTTTGGAGCAGTCGATCGATTCGTAGAATTTTTCAATTTTTAGGCAATTGCAATCTTTTTTAAGTGGACATCCACCATTAATTGGGGTTATATACAGTGTATATATAATGTAGGAACAGGTTAATAATTTATAAATCATAATTGTTTAAAAGAGAAGGGATATAAACTTTTCCTTTTAACAATTAAAAGTTTTATGAAATGTCAACTACCAGAACGATAGGTAATTAGTAGTTTAAAAATGTTATTTAATACTTTACGTACACAAAACTGTAATTATAATAAGAACAGTAAATAAAGAAACTGTATTTCAATTAAAAGTTAGTTTTATAGATTAATTTTAATAGATTATATATTTAGTAAAACCGTTTCTTTTTCTTCTTATTATCTAATTCCTATAAGTAAAGCTAAACAAATTTATATTTCAATGCTCATTTATAGTCTTTTCTAGAAGCATTAAGGTTGTTAATTTAATTATTTGATTAAAAATCGGTGTTTTGTTTTTAGAGGGAGGTGGGAGGTGTATTACAACCTCAGTAAAATTTTATATACTGTATACTTTATATATACTCCCTTGCCTTATAGTTATAAGGAGATAATTAATGCACGATAATCACCGATTATAATCAACAAACCTAATGTAGAGAAGAAAATATCTTTGGGATACTTGTCTTTTTGTATAATCCAGTTCAATTTCATAATTTAAAACACATGGAAGAAATTGAGTACATACTATTGTCATTTTAAGTGAAAAATAACTATTCAATAGTTTATTGCCTCTTCCTTGTTAAGAACAACAATTAAGAATTCTATTAAGGATGAGAGGATGAGAATGCACGTAATTTATTATAATAAAATTATAATGTAGTGCTTCTTCAGATGATTGTTCTTAAATCTTCCATGTTGTGTATCCTTAACACCCCAGATATTTTCAAAAGTAATGAAATCTTGAGTAATATCTAGTCAGTCTAACATCCCAGGACCCTATCTTAAATAAGAGAGTTACCTCTTACAAAAAGAGTATGATCTAAGATCACTAAAAGATTGGATAGAACAGATGTTATTCGGTTTTTATCCATGGTTAGATTAGTCTTTTCTTTAAAGGAATTAACATCTCAAATGTATCTAAAAAACTTACTTTTCTCACGCCCCAGGTTTCACCAGTAATATATCAGAATTGAACTTCTTACCATCAGTAACTATCACCTTGACATACACTAGGAATTGTGATATTTTTAGCAAAATAGTTTCTCTTTCAACTAATTTGCTGTCTTGGTCAAGGGAGACATTCTTTTTCATTTTTTTTTATCTTTCTTTCCCAAATCCAGCTCTTTGCTCCATCTAATAGTATCGTTTACTAGGATTTTTAATCCCTCTCTCTCTCTCTATGTCTCTTGTCATCAATTTATTCCATTTACCATTTGAGATAAACTAATAAACACCTAACGAAATGTTTAAATAACCAGCTACTGAATACTTTCAATTGACCCAATTTTCAAATATTTAATAAATAACAATATATCCTTATGATGAAATGATAGTGTAAGTACAGTTAAACTTATTGATTCATTTCCGCCCCATTTTATCTATCATAAGGATAAGGTAGAAACATTTTCTAAAGTTTCCAATAGAATAGATGAATTAATGAAGATATCTTTCATTTTCTCTTTAAAAACCGAAAATTTCATTAAATCCTTCCTTAAGAATATGTTATTTTTGTGATTTGTACTTAAAAGTATACAATAGACGTAGTGTACAAGGCCATATATATCTTTTTTTCTTATTCATACATAAAACATAATACTATGATGTTAATATAGATTCGGAGGATCGTTGGAAATAAGCTAGCCCGTTTTTTTTTCTTATTTTATTGCCAACGGATTAAAGAACGTTTAAAATAGTTAAAGAAAGTTCCAAGCTTTGTTCCAAAGAATTAAACGGAAGGAAGATTATACGCCATCTGGAGGCTTTCTTATACTTTAAAATTAAACAAAAAAAGACTAATCCTATGATGTTCTGTACTCAGTAAAAAGAAGCTCTTTTTTTTTATTGCACATATTTTATCAATTCCGTTATTTCGAGTGTCTCTGCAACGTTTCAAAAGATATTTCTTTAATTTCATCAAGTAAATAAATCTTTAGACTGCATATTAGACTGCATTTCGATGGCTTTGTTTAAATTTAACAATAAAATATACTATAGATGGCGCTTAATACACATTTTTTTCAATATAAATCTTACAAATATATATATATAAGTATATAACATTCAAGTTGCTTGAACGAAAATAAGCAACTATTAATATTAAGCTATACTTGATAAAAAAGGGCAAATATTTCGAAAATATATAGAATTTTCCTCTTCTTCCAGCGTATATGCCTATTAGTAATCACTTCTTATTTTTGAGTGTCATGACGATTCTTTCCGGCGCTTATCGAATACTCCGAAAAAGCTTATAGTGCTCAGGATGAGCTGTAAGCCTTGAAGAGCACACTTTAAATAAGTTCCAATTATAATAACGATTCGTAGATCGGGAAATTTCCCGCAAAACTTAAGAAAAAGTAAACGATAACCCAAGAAACGGAAATTGAAAGCAACTTCTAAAAAAACGGGAAAGAAATTCTAGAAATCTATGGAATAAACAGGCTAAACTCGTTGTTCTTTACACAAATAATAAACAAGATGTGATTAATAAGAAACTTCCTAATTTAAATAATAAGCCGTCGTAATTATAAACAGAATACTTAATTTACATAATTTAATACAATCAATTAGTTAGTTTAATAAACTATTACCGCAAAAAAAAGACAGAGTTCTGGAAAGCAAAAGGCAAACAGATTTGTTAGAACATTTTTTATACGCGTTGCTGTTTATAATTACGCTGAAATAGGCAGGATGTAATTACTATAAGGATGTTTTACGGCTGAAAAAATAACGACAGTTATTTCGAATGATAGATTTTACCATCGATTCTGAAAATATCTAAAAAGTTTTGGTAATCAGTTCGTCTAGGGTTAAGGTAGAAAAGGTTATCTCTTATAGGTCTATCCTTAATCTATAGAATCATATCTGGGAACCCATTAGCTACGTCCTTAATCCATAAATGCATAGGGTGTTTTAGTATGAACAAGAAAAGGAACAAATATAACGATCGTTAAGGCTTATCACAGATTTTAAAGCTTTCAATTTCCCTCTTTAAACACAACCGTTATAATCGCTTTTGCTCTTTTTTTTCCCTATATATACATTAAGAAAAATTGGGTAAATAAATTCGTTGGACACAGCCATCCTACTAACGAATAAGAAGAGACGCTTTCGTGATCAAATAAAGGCGTTCGCTGTGGACTTTAGACGAATCCGAAATTAAGTCGGAGTAGGACGATAACGTCCATCAAATCACGCTCGAACCCCGCCCCCCCTGGGTGAGATAAAGCAGGAGATATAGCACATTCATATAAATACATAGATGTGTACTTTTTACATTGTATCTTTATCTAAGCGTGCATCTATATAGATATATTCATATAGGCAAGGGTAGTATATTAGTTTGTTTTAATTAAGGAAGGAAGCGAGGACGTAGAATATAAAGGAACAAAAGTAGAGCTTTAAAACTTCGAAAAGAATACAGTTCGGTTTGCAGGAATAATAGTGACTAGCAGAGGCGTGTACGTATGCAATTAGCTGATGAAATCTTGTGGAAATCTTATAAATGATACAGAATATAACTTACTGTTCCTACGTCCTCATAAAGTGTATATACAGTAATCATTCAGTCTTACCAAGTTTTGTTTACTTTTATCTCTCTTTCTCTCTTTCTCTCCATTTTTGTTTTTACCTCTCTTTAAAACAATAGACTGATTTATTACGTTTTCTCTTATTTATTTGCTTGAAACAATGAGGTCATTTTTACAGATAACAGATAAAATGACATAAAGAAGACTTATTATTTATTAATAGTTTATTTATCTATTCAAAATTCTCTTTCAGTTTTTCTAAATTAGTAGGTCGAATGGGATGCTAATGAGCCAAATCGACCTACAAAACTTCTAAGGTTAAATACAAATGTATGGATGGGAAAAGTCAAGCCATTGGCATTTTTTTGATTAGTTTTAGAGCGAAAAATTTAGGTTAAAAAGTTCAAATCAAATTTTCTTATCATTCAACTTAATAGAGTTTATAAAATGACCTTTTTTCACGATCTATCCTCAGTTAATTGTAACAATATGTATTTGGGTTTTTATAATAGTAAAAGAAAGAAAAAGAGAGTGTATAGATGGATTCAAAGAGTCAAAGAGTGCTTGACAAACAAAACTTAAATGTGTCGGGTTTTGCGTATCAGATAGCAAATTTATAAACACTTATCACAAAAATCGAGATCTAGGAGCCCTTTGCCCTAAGGGTACCAAAATTCCCATTAATAAAATAAAAGGGAAAATATATCAAAAACCCAACAGTTTCTTTTTTGCCTCTAATATATGATAAAGTAAGATGAAAGGAATAAGGGAAAATAAAAAAAAGACAGACTAAAAATTCTTCTAATTTATTGTCTAATTTATCTAAATTTGATTTAATTTATTAAAAGTAACTTGCTTAACCTTTCTGTCTATCTTTTTTTTATTTCTCTTTAACGAAGTGGGTAAAAAGAAAATATGACCCAAGTAAATCGAATTTTTTCTCCACTGGCAATACATAGCCCATAGAAAAGAAAGTATGAATCAAATGTAGCACATGACGAGTTTCATTCGTCTTATATACAATAGGACAATTGTTCTGTGTCGTCTAGAATGATTTCGTGCGCATTATTACGCACGTTTCTTTTTCTGAAAAGATGCTAATGAAATTTGTCAAAACGTTAACGTTGTTTACTCTCCTCGTCTTTTTCACGATTTTAATCGCCTAACTATAAACTGACCACATGCTACACTTTCTTTCATCTTTTTTAGTAAATAAATACATTGGAAATGTTAAATAGTTGGAAATTCCTATTCCTAGTCTTATTCATACATCTTTTTACTCTATTTACAATACGATATTGTTTTGTTTTTGGACTCTGGCAACTGTCTCCACCTAGCGAGTTTTTTTTTCATTTTTTTTGTCATTTTTCCCTACTTTCTTTCTCTTTCTATCTTTATCCCTTCTTCTCTCGCTCGCTTTCTATTCCTCCGTTGCTCTCCGTTTTTCCCTCTCTCTATCTTTCTTTCTTTCGTTCACTGGGTTAGTGTCTTTCTATGTAAACGCTGTCTACTACAG